TAGCGAGCCAGAACAGGACCCCCAGAGGGGTCTGCCAAGGAGACCGCCACTGGCCGGCTAAGCGGCGTGAGTGTGGTGTGGTCTCGAAAGAAGGAGCGAGACGCCCCGGAGTCAAGAGTGAAAGTGAGAGAGGGGGAAGTCGACACAGTACCTGAGAGAGCAGACTCACCAGCACCTGAGGACTCAGACTCACTGGCACCTAGAGCAACAGCCTCACCAGCACCTGGAGCAGCAGCCTCAACAGCACCTAGAGCCGCGGTACCAATGCCCGGGTCGGGCGGGAAACACCGGTAACAGTCACCCTCCTCACTAATAGTCACAGCATACATGGCAGCAAGAATAGCATCAAAGTCAAGATCAAAGATAGCTACTCCCGCCCTAGACAGCTGGTCCCAGCGAGGGATCTCAGAGGCGTCAGGAAACTGGCGGCGCCAGGCGTCAGTCAGGCGGCCGAAGCAACGCTGGGTGGAGTGTGGACCACCACACTGCTCACCCGCACGGTCGCCAGTGCGCAGGACGTAAGTGCACGGACCAGCATCCCCACCCCGCTGACGCGCAGAGTACCACTCACGGAGCTGCTGCGGGGAGAGGGTCTCCTGACCACGCTGCTGCTGCTGGCGCTGACCACCACCGGAGCCACTCCTCCTCGACGCGCCACGACCGCCGCCGCCTCCTCCTCCGCCACCGCCACCACCTCCGCCGCCACCGCCACTCCCACCGTCGCCGCCGCCACCGCCGCCTCCGCCTCCACCCCCACTACCACCGCCGCTGCCGCCCCCGCCTCCACTGCCGCCGCCGACACCTCCACTCCCGCCACCACTCCCGCTACCACCCTCACCTCCGCCGCTGCCTCTACCGCCGCCTCCACCGCCCCCGCCGCCTCCACCACCGCCCCTGCCCCCCTTGCTCTTGCCAGAGCGACGTCTCCCGCTGGGGGCAGACGCCGCACCGACCGACTCAAAGCCAACAAGGTCGGCCGTAGCAGCAGAGGCGACAGAGGGCAGGAGGGGGGAGGGGGAACACCCCTCAAAGATGGGGGTGCGCGGGTCACCCCAAGAGGCCCCTACAGCGAGAATGCTCTTCTCGGCTGCTAGGAGGGACTTCTCGAGGAGCTCGACAGTGAGAGTGGTGGGGCAGACTGCGAGTAGGTCGTCCCTGACTCCGCGAAGGGAGTCAGGGAGGCGGGTGACAATGTAGTAGAGAGTGAAGTACTGGGGGGGGGGGGTTCTTGGCGCAGAACTCAGCAGGAAGAGCAGCGCGGAAGCGAGCGTCACTAGTGCGCAGGTGGGTAATGAGGTCGGCTACTGTGGCAAAAGCAGCAAGGTCAGGAAAGAGGTACGGTAGCATGAGGCGGCTCAGTGCAGCAGTGGCAGGGGTGGAGTAGCGTGCGATAACGGCGTCGTACAAGGTCTGAGCACTCTTGTACGACCCAAAGTGCGCACGCTCAGCGGGAGGGAGGTGGCGACGCACAGCAAGACGTGCAGCAGCATCGCGTGTGGCCCACTGTGAGCGAACAGTGGCATCCTCAGTAGCAGCAGGGGCGGGAGAGGCACCAGAGGTGAGATCAAAGAGAGAGAGTCCGTCAGCTCTGTCGCACTGTAGGAAAAGCAGTAGGTCGTCTACCCACACGTCAAAGTCGATAGCTCTGCCTTCAGCGTCAAAGGCGAGGACACTGGGGGTAGCCATGACAGCAGTAGAGAGAGGGCAGTGCGCAGAGTAAAGCTCAGTGCTCACCAGACAGGGCAGTGCAGGGAGGGCTCGGGCGGCTCGGGCGGCTCGGCAGCTGGGGCGGCTCGGCTGCTGGGCGGGTCGGGCGACTCGGCGGCTCGGGCGGCTCGGGCGGCACGGCAGCTGGGGCGGCTCGGCTGCTGGGGCGGCTCGGCTGCTGGGGCGGCTCGGCTGCTGGGGCGGCTCGGCTGCTGGGGCGGCGGGGCCGGAAGATGCAGCGGCGGGGCCGTCAGGTGCAGCGGCGGGCCGTCAGGTGCAGCGGCGGGCCGGCAGGTGCAGCGGCGGGCCGGCAGAGGGGACGGCGGGGCCGTTAGAGGGATCGGCGGGGCCGTAGGGTGCAACGGCGGGCCGGCAGGTGCAGCGGCGGGGCCGTCAGGTGCAGTGGCAGGCCGGCAGGTGCAGTGGCGGGCCGGCAAAGGGGACGGCGGGGCCGTCAGAGGGGACGGCGGGGCCGTCAGAGGTGCAGCGGCGGGCCGTCAGGTGCAGCGGCGGGCCGTCAGGTGCAGTGGCGGGCCGGCAGGTGCAGCGGCGGGCCAGGAGAGGGGACGGCGGGGCCGTCAGGTGCAGCTGCGGGGCCGGCAGAGGGGACGGCGGGGCCGTCAGAGGTGCAGCGGCGGGCCGTCAGGTGCAGCGGCGGGCCGTCAGGTGCAGTGGCGGGCCGGCAGGTTCAGCGGCGGGCCAGGAGAGGTGACGGCGGAGCCGTCAGGTGCAGCTGCGGGGCCGGCAGAGGGGACGGCGGGGCCGTCAGAGGGAACGGCGGGGCCGTACGGTGCAGCGGCGGGGCCGGCAGAGCAGGCGGCGGGGCCGCGGCGTAGCTGGCGGCAGGGCCGCGTCCGAGCAGGCGGCGAGGCCGCGTCGTAGCGGGGCCGCGATGAGGTGGCGGGGCCGCGACTAGACGGGGGGGGGGGGGGGGGGGGCGCGACTGGACGGCGGGGCCGCGAAGGAGTGGCGGGGCCGCTCGAAGGGTGGGCGGGACCGCTAGGTGAAGGGCGACTCGGGGGGGTCGCTAAAAAAAACGATCGCGCGCCTCGGGGCGCGCTTCGGTTGGCCCTAGGCGAAGTTCCCACAGGGAACCCGCTCTATACCATGTGAAAGTAAGGAACAGGAATGATGAACTATGAAATGAAAACAGTACAAGTACCAACCCTAATTGGGTTGTACCCCTTATGTGCTACCCCACTACAGCCTACAAACATGCATCAGCTATAGTAATCTGACACCTTCAAACCTTCAGAATCGGGAAAAGGGTCATATTAGGGTCAGATATTAGTAGAAAAGTAACCATAGGGCCGACAAACTAAACCTGGTATTTCGGAGGGAATATCAACGCGCCCCACAATTGCGTAAAATATTTAATCTGTTAGGGATTTTGACTTTCCCATACATCTTGTTCCTCTCGGAAAATTTAGCACATTTGTTTTCGAAAATATGTATTATCTTTTCGCTACGTAATAATTATTATGTCGTTTACGCATTATTACGATATATATTTCCTTACGCGTTTTTTGTCACAGAATAAATAAATAACCACCTCTTTGTTTAGATAAAAATATATAATTTCTCTAGGGTGACATGACATGTTGATATAATGAACCATAAACACCTAGAGGCAAGGTGTTTAGTGTTGATGCCATCGGATGGGGTTTTATTTCGTCCTGAGTACATGGGATATTTTATGAAACTGAAAACATTACGTAAATTTGGACTAAAAAGTGCAATTACGCTCAGGTTTACAATCGGAGAAATGCGACGCGTATTTTGCAGTTGGCGGCGGTAATAAACTATGTTGAAACAAATTGAAGACACGTTTTCGTAATTTGTGGTCGTCCCTTCCAGACTAAGGTCGTGTCCGTAGGGATGACATGTCAAGCTTGTGAGTGTCAACTTCTGGTTTTGACACTTGCCAACATTGTTGGCAGAGTGTCAACGACATGAAAACTGCCAGCCAGTATATTTAGTCGGATACCCCGCTCTGCGAATCGTGTTTCTCCATCCAGCCAACTAACTGGTAGGGTCGAGATTTCTTTCTACCCTCACCTGCCCAATCGACGGATGTGTACGAGTGCAAGGTCTTGCAAGAAATCGCGTGTGGATGTAAAGTCTTGTGTGACTGCAAGGTCTTGCAACAATTAGTGCCCAACCAATCACGTTGCGTCGCAGGATTTTGTGCTGTGTTTCGTTTTGACACTGAAGGTACAGTTCTTGACACTCCAAAATTCCGCGCGCTTCGTGTTGAGACTGCCATGTTGACATGTCATCCCCACGGACACGAACTAAGGTTAGGTTCGTCGACCTAACCGCTCGGGCAGCTTCGGGGAATTATCCTACGGTCGGGATCAACCCGGCCCTACTTGGGTCATCATGTTTGGCCCCAAAGATATATTCCCCTTGAAAATAGACCAGGTCACTTCTTCCTCAGGCGCCTATGGTTGTCCAGGGTGGCATTCGGCCGTGACAAGTATTGCCAGAGGGCTGTGTTCTGTCTGCAGCACTGTACAGGCCAAGGGTCTTGATTCGTTTTGGGCCACCCTGTCGAATCAAAGTTCCAGGCCGAAGTCACACTGCCACTGCAGTGTGGCTGGCGCGTCGTACCCTAGAAATGGCAGGGTGTTTAAACGTTTGTGGACTGGTATGGCAGGGTGGAAAAAATAACTAGGCTACAGCGGTCCAATCTGTGTGAGTGTCTCCGTGGAAAGGACAGCCAGTTTTCGAGCACATCAGATGCTTGACGCGGTGTATGTGAGAGTGTCTCTGGAAAGGACTTCGTTTTCTAGCACATCCGGTGTACGTATGAGTGTATCCTGCAAGGACTTAGCCAGTTTTCGATTGGCTAAGTTTTACAAGGGGGAAAAACCGAGTCAGAGTGCTGCCACTACCGAACTCGGCCAAGGCAGTGTGCTACAAGAACCAACAACTGCAAAACAAGGGTTAAAAATACACGAGGCCTGATCGTGACAGGGTGGTAGAACCCTGGAATCCTGTATTTACCGTGTGAGACCCTGAAAAACAGGCTAATCAGGGTAAAATGCCCTGTAATCCTGAGGCCTGTGCACAGCCGCCGCTATGCCGCTTGTTTCCCTCTGCATCATGCGTCGTCTGACATTGCTCTTCGTTCCGAAATGTGAAGCACACTTCCGCTTGCCGCGCGTAGCCATCCATGATAACCATCGCGCAGCTCCATGGTCCTCGGTAGCTAGTAGTAGCAGTAGTAGTAGTAGGGGTGCAGGCGATAGCCCCAACAGAAGATACCACCTCTGCGGCTGGGTGCGATAATGAGAGTTTCTCGAGAGTTGGCGGCGGTGGTGATGTGGATGGGGCTTGCGGGCGTGCTGGCGGGGCTGGTGGCGTGGAGGGTGCAGAAGGGCTTCGACGACAATCGCAAGGCGGAGCTCGACACCTGGTGCGCCGGTCGCGCGCGCTCGCTGCAGCAGCAGTTCATGCAGACCGCCGACCACGTGCAGGTAGGCGGCCGACACGTGCAGGCAGAGGCACCAACAAGTTCAGGCAGACGCGCCGACACGTGCAGACGCGCCGACACGTGCGGGCAGACGCGTTGCAGGTAGACGCGCCGACACATGCAGGTAGACGCGCTGACACGTGCGCTGGTATCATTAGCCGAGAGCCAGGCGACGCCACACCGTCACGGTGCAGGCTAGGAATCAAAATTGTCGTATTAACCAGATTTTTACATTTCAAAACCCTGGTTCCAAAACGATTATCGCATGGTACTAGGCGATACGAGCTTTGTAGGTTAATTAGAACCGCGAGGATTACGTTTCGCATTCAGGTCCCGCGTTCCGGATGGCGACAGCGTGCACGTAGAGCGGACGCAGTTGCTCGATAGCAGAAATGGCGGGAATCGGTGTGACAGCACAACAGCCGACCACGCGGCAGCAACATTCGCTCACAACCCGCATGTACCGGCAACTGCTCCCACAATCAGGGTACTCACCGGGGCGGCAGTGCGAGGAGCTTGTAGTCACTTTTGAAAAAGGGTTACTTTGCAGCGGGAGGTCGCCCATAGTGTCGCCACACGTGGCACGTGCGTTGCGTGGATGACTCGTGGAGCATAGCTGCATGCTTCATTTTATCGTCAGTAGTTGCAGCCTGCAGCGACAGCTGTGCCACATGCATTTGCAGCAGATGCATTCACTTCAGAGCACACGCATTCACAGCACACACGCATTCACAGCACACACGCATTCATGCCACACACGCATTCATGCCACACACGCATTCACGGCACACACGCATTCACAGCACACACGCATTCACAGCACACACGCATTCACAGCACACACGCATTCACCGCACACACACATTCACAGCACACACGCATTCACAGCATCGCGTAACACAGCACCGCGCAACGCAGCACCGCGTAACACAGCATCGCGCAACTCATGATGCCCGTCGCTGTCTTAGGATCGTAAACGCATTAGTCGGCAATAGTCTACTTGCTATCGCCTATCGTGTTCTCCACGATCTCCCGAATCCAATGATATGCGCAGCTCTGCTTGAAGTTGTCAATACACACTTCAGCAATTTTCAGAATCTGATTGGTATCAATGTTGTCCAATGTTATGATTTCCAGAATGAGCACAAGCAGTTTTATAGTCATGCAAGACACAAAATGCGATTCGTAACTTCACTTGTTTCCCAAGTAACCGCGTGCGCCTCGTTTCACCCCGAGTCGCAGACGCAACCGTACCGAATTCGGTGAACACTCCGCAAGTCCGAATCTGGAACCTTCTCAAACACCCCTCGAGCTCGAACCACAATTTCCCCTCGCCAACTTCAATCTCGATGCTTCTTCCACCTTCTCACACATTCCTTCTCGATTTCTCTCTCCCTTCTCACGCCGTAGGCCGATTTCCACCGTTTCACCTAGAATCATCCACGCGCTTCCATTTCGCCGTCATTCCGCCGTCGTAGAGACTTTCGCCATAGGTTCTGTGGTTGGGCGAACCAACCCTAACACGCTGCACACTCCAACCTCTCACTGACTACATGCATGGTGCCCCCACCCGTCTTTCATCCTCCCATCTCCCCACACCCGTCTTCCCCTCACCTACCTCCCCCCACCCATCTCCCTTCAACCGTCTTTCCCCCAACCATCTCCCCTCACCCGTCTTCTGCCACCTATCTCCCCCACCCGTCTTTCCCCCACCTATCCCCCCCACCCGTCTTCCCCCCACCCATCTCCCCACACCCATCTTCGCCCCACCTCTCTCCCCCACCTGTCTTCCCCCCACCTATCTGTGAGTGGTAGCCTCAATTGCAACTGTTGTTCTTGTACTTTTCTGTGTAGTAAAGTAGAGTAGCTTGTAGTTTGTGCTGGTTGGGTGAACGCCCACATCCCAACCTCACCCAAATGTGAAAAACCGAAATCTCCAACCCACCAATTGGAGATTTCAGCCGTTCTCCTTGGGATTGCCCCCCCCTCCCCATCCATACTTTGCTCATTTCCAATGTACTTAAGAGCCTTGAGCTCATTACCTAATGTATCAGTTCAAGCTCAAGTCCTTGCACTATCTCCTCCACCCTTCTTCCCCCTACCTTTTTTTTTTTCTTCTATCACCCGCAGGTTATCTTCTCCCGGCTTATCATCCGCCACACTTTTCCTCCCACCTATTCTCCCCCCACCCACCCTACGCACCCATCTCACCCATATTCACCCATCTCTCCCGCCATCCACCTTCCATCAATCCGCTGCCTCCCAACCCCATGATCCACCCATCCGCATGATCCATGCACATGCTCCCCTGCTCACGTGCACGCATCAGGCGCTGGCAGGGCTGGTGACAGTGTTTGGGCGGGTGCGGGAGAACCCGTGGGGCGCGGGGGAGTGCATGAGCCAGCAGCGGTATGTGCACTTCGCACACGCCACTGTCACCGTGCGGCCGTGGGTGCATGCTGTCATCTACCTCCTCCTCCTCAACCACACAGACAGGTTAGCGCTGCCTTGCTCCCTCCTCCATCTTTCCAGCCTCGCTTCTTTGAGATTCTTGCATCTCCCTCTACCCCCCTCTCGTCACACAATCACCCCTTTTCCTCCCAACACACACACCCAAAACCAATTCTGCTGGTCAGTGTGAGCTTGAACCCTATCGAAGCCAATCATCCATGTCGCCTGCATTTGCTGCTATCCTTATGTGCTATCCTTATGTGCTATCCTTATGTGTTATATCTTATGTGCTATCCTTATGTGCTATCCTTATTTATGTGCTATCCTTATGTGCTATCCTTATGTGCTGTCCTTATGTGCTATCCTTATGTGCTGTCCTTATGTGCTATCCTTATGTGCTGTCCTTATGTGCTATCCTTATGTGCTGTCCTTATGTGCTATCCTTATGTGCTGTCCTTATGTGCTGTCCTTATGTGCTGTCCTTATGTGCTGTCCCTGTGTGCTGTCTTGTATGCCGCGTGTGCATGACGCCCGTGCGTGCGGTGCTGTGGTGCAGGGCGATGTACGAGCAGCAGATGCGGTGCGGAGTGGTGGACTTCATGGACCGGCCGCTGCCCCCAGCGGGCTGGTACATGCCCATGCACTACTGGTACAGCGAGATCCCCCTCGCCACCATGCTCGCCGGCACGCCCTGCAAGGACGCGCGCACCAACCCCTCGTACGGCCCGCAGCTGGGCGGCATGGTGGAGCGCGCGGACCGGTGGCTCACCACGCCCTACGTGCTCGACAATGGCAACGCTGGCATCGGTGCGTGCTGTCCCTGGCTGGCACACGCATGGGTGGCTGGGGCAATGGGGGCAGCAGCATGGGTGGGTGGGGACAGGCGCCGTGGGTTATGCAAGTGGGAGTGGGAGGGCTGTGATGGCCGTATGAGAGACAGGAAAAGGCGATTAGAGCGGCATTGCTCATGTTCAAGTGCAGCAAGGGCTATCAGGCATGTCGAAAGTAGAAAACCGTGCATGCTTGGGCGTGTGCATGCCTGGGCGTGTGCATGCCTGGGCGCATGCATGCTGTTCCACGCCATTGCCCTCTTCTGTCCCTCACGGCCTCCCTCCCTCCTTCCCTCTGCCCGCACCTCTGCACTGTGCAATGTCGCCACGTGCACCACCCATGCAGCCATGACATTTCCGCTCTTCCGAGCCGGCGTGTCGACGGGGTCGCGCCTAGCAGAGCGGCAGCGCGCGTTCATCGGAGCCATGGGGGCGTCGGTGGACTTGAAGCGCCTCGCCAGCGCCATCATCCTCGATGTGCTGCAGGGTACGTCTCGTCTCGTCTCGTGTGCACGATGGGCTGGGAGGAGCATTGCCGTCAAGTTCTTTTGTGTGCCCGCAAATAAGCCAGCTGCTTTATGCTCTCATGCTGCCATGCTCTCATGCTCTGACCACCAGTGCTGGACGTCATGAATGGATGGATTCACGAACGCCAATTTGTGGATTCACTTACAGCAAACGACTAGTACTGCCCCTGCTGTTGTTGCTTGTCAGCGATGCAACGAGTTCCCATCGTGCTCGTTGCCAACGAAAGGGTGTTCTTTCTCTCACGCATTCTGACCTCCCCCTCCAATGCCCACGCCGCCACCAGACGTGAACTACACGCTTGAGATCTACGACATCACAGACACCTTGGCGTCGCCCCCATCAGGCCCGCGCCTGCTGTACGGCGTGGGTGACTTGCCGCAAGGCGACCCAAAGCAGGTGTCCAAGGTCATTCCGCCCTCCACAGATGCCATGCTGCAGCCACACCGCCACAAGGCCGTGCACCCACTCAACCTCACCGACCCCTCTCGCTCCTTCCAAGTCTGGTGCCGGTATTCCCCTCCTCTTGTCTCCTCCTCTTGTCGCCTCACCGTATTCCCCTCTCCCTTTATATCCTCTTGTTCCCTCCCCTCGCACCCTCCCCTTCTCTTCTCCTCAGCACTGGTAATGGTTTGCCAGTTGTTGTGCCTGATTGTGCTTCCTTCGCATCATCTGCCCCTGTCTGCATTCTTGTAAGGCTGGGTCAACTGTCCACATTGCCCTCACAAGAACTCTTCCTCTATGAATAGCTAGCATGTCAGCAAATCTTCTCACTTCCTTTTCTACTCACTCTCTTTTTCTCTCCCTCTGTCTGTCGTTTCTTCCCCCGGCAACCGCCCCCACTCTGCCCTCCACCCCCCCCCGTGGCTTTTCTCCCCTCTCGCCCTCATTCCCCCCTGCCAGCTTCGCAGGGTCAGACGAAGCACACAGTTGGGTGGCGGTCGTGCTGGGGGCGCTGATCGTGGTGGTGGCGGCGCTGCTGGCGGGCATAGCAGTGAGCGTGGGACGCAACACGCGGCGGGCGAGGAGGAAGACGGCGGTGGTGGAGCGCATGAAGGAGAGCACGCAGCGCAAGGAGCACAACAAGAGCGCCTTCATCGCCACCACCTCGCATGAGCTGCGCACCCCAATCATCGGTATGAAAGGTATGCTTCAATGGGGGTGTTGTTTCTGGGTAGTAGGCAGGCATCATGGTCAAGGGCCCCCGATGGGCTGGCTTAGGGTGGTTGGCTGGCCGGACCTGGTTCGACTTTGTGTCGAGTCGAGCCGATGTCGCGCGGAGCCCGAGACGACACTCAGATTTCAGTGTCGACCTGACCATGGCTCGTGAGCAGTGGTGTGTTCCCACTCGCACCTGTAACAGTGTGGCTGTCACAAAAAATCAAAGCATTAAGCAACGTGCATGGATGTTTCTGGATGCTGCTTGCTGCTGGCTGTTCTGTGCAGGCATGTTGGAGCAGCTGGTGGAAGGGCAGATGGAGTGCGAGATGGAGGAGGACGTGTGGACGGCGCTGGAGGAGGCGGAGCGGGTGCTGCTGCTGATCAACACGGTGCTGGACATCTCCAAGGCGGAGGCGGGGCACATGCAGCTCGAGCGACTGCCCTTTGACCCGCGTGCCTGGCTGCTGGCCGCCCTGCAGCAGCACGGGGCCAGAGCTGCTGAAGCCGGGCTGCAGTGTGAGTGGGGTGGGGCCCATGGGGCAAGCCAAGCTGCACGCTTGCATGCATGCATGCACACATTCACATGCTCACATGGCGATGCTCACAAGCACATGCATCCGCCCACGTACTTGAAGGCATGTATATCAGTGCTCGCACCTAACCTCCGTTTCCTGCTCCATCCTCACTTCCTACAATACCACGTGCCCAATTCTTGCTCTGTGCCTGTACCTCCTGCTGTGCCCCACACGCAGTCACGTGGCATGTGGATGTGAGTGTGCCAGACGTGCTGGTGGGGGACCACATGCGACTGCAGCAAGTGATCGACAGTATTGTTGGTGAGCCACATGGGGGGCAGCATTGGTACGCACTCCGACACCAAGTCGATCCATCGACTCGATTGACTCGAATGACATGCATGCTGTGGTGTGGCAGTGCAGACGGGGACAAATGGACTTTGCACCTTTTTCATCCCTCTGTGTGTCGCTCCCTCCAGACAACGCCATCAAGTTCACATCCACTGGAGGCGTGTGTGTGCGGCTGCAGTGCCTTCCCCCCGACACCCACACCCCCACCCACCTGCTCTCCCTCGGCTGCCTCCTCGCTGAAACCACCCCCTGCTGCCCCCCTGCCGCTGCTCCCACTGCTGCTAGTGCCACCAGTACTGCCACCTCTGGTGCTGAGACAGGGACTATCAATGGTGCAGGGGGTGCAGTTGTGATGCCTTGCTTTGGGCAGCACATGGGGCAGCGGTGGCTTGCACAGGCAGGGGTGAGGCAATGTTGTGGGTGCTTGGAGGAGTGCGTGGGGTTGGAAAAGAGAGGTGCAGCGGTGCAGGGGCGGTGCGGGCAGGGAGATCCGGAGGAAGAGAGCCGTGGCAGGGAGGGCAGGGATGGAGCTGGTGCGGATGCCGTGGCGGCTGCTCAGGATGGTTACGGGGCAGGGTGGGCAGGAGTGGTGGGCGGTGGGGAGGGCGGTGGGGAGGGCGGTGGGGAGGGCGTCCGGGAGGGCGCATGGGTGGGTGCAGTGAGGCGGTGGTGGGACAGGGCTGGCATGCAGGGATGGAGAGGCGCTGCACGTGAGGGGCATTGTCAAGGGCGGGTGGTGGTGCTGGTGACGTGTGAGGACACAGGGTGTGGCATCGCAGAGGAGGAGCAGCCTGATGTGTTCCAGGCCTTCATGCAGGTGAGCCTGGAGCATGTGTGTTGTGGCACTAACGAGGGGTGTAGCCTCAGTATAGTGAGTTGAGTATGTCACCAGGGATGCCAGTATGCCGCCTGCCGCTGCGACTGTGGGGCACGAATCTTGTGCTTTTACACCACGGACTGCTCTACCGTGCTGTCACGGACTGCTCTACCGTGCTGTCACGGACTGCTCTACCGTGCTGTCACGGACTGCTCTACCGTGCTGTCACGGACTGCTCTACCATGCTGTCACGGACTGCTCTACCGTGCTGTCACAAGTCCATTCTTCTCCTTCAGGAACCCCAAGAGCATACCTCACTGACGATGGGCGTGTGTGTTGATCCAACACCCGCACCCACCAGGCGCATCACAAGAGGCACTCGCACGGCGGAAGTGGTCTGAGTCTCCACATATCCAAACAGCTGGTGCGTGCCTTACATGCTGCTCCTCTGCTGCATGTTGCTCTTCCGTAAAGGACAAGGAAATCAATTCCATGTCGTGTGCCCTGTTTTTCATACAGAAGGAGAGTACAATTGGATTGCAAGGTGAAGGTTGAAAAGGAAGGCAAAGAGAACCTAAGAAAATTATGAGGGAGAGCCGTAATCCCAGAATACACTCTACACTTCAGTGGTGTTGAAACTGTACCCCAACAAAAACCCCTATAGTGCCACAATGTGGAAGTAACCATTGTCTAGCAGGGTTGGCAGTGCAGTGGTGTGACGTGCGCCACCCACCTCTCATCTCGCTGCCTGCAGGTGTCTCTGATGGGCGGCACCATGGGTCTGCTCAGCACAGAAGGCCACGGCACCACCCTGCACGTCGCTCTCCCCATCGCTGCTCTTCCTGCCGCTGCTGCTGCTTCTGCCCGTGCTGCCAGCACAAGCACACGAGCTCCCAGTGTTGCCCCAACTGCTCCCTTTACAGCTTGCAGCACCAGGAGGCTGCTGGGCTGGTGCGAGCAGGTGGCATCAGGGAGGAGAAATGAAGGAGCAGGGCACAGAGAGAGTGGAAGGGAGGTGCAGATCGCAGGTGGGGAGGGCAGTGGACTCAAACAGCACACACGGGCGATAGCAGCGCAGGGAGGGGGGAAGGTGCAGGGGGGCGATGTGGGAGCGAAGTGGGTGAGCAGCACAGGGCGGAGTGCCAAGGAGGCTCTCAAGGAGGCGTTGCAGGGCATGGCAATCCTGGTGAGGTGCAAGCGAGGGCCGTGATGGTACCAAGGGGCAGTTCAATGTGCATATGAGAACCTTTACTTTCTCCACCACCCCTCCCTCCTCCTGCCTTTCCCCACCCTTCTTGCATGCACCCCTTCCCACCACCTTGCCCTGGTTGCGGACCGTGCTGCACCACACCGTGCTGCACCACACCATGCTGCACCACACCGTGTTGCACCACAACTCTCTCTCCCTCTCCCCCGTGTATCGCCCTCGCTCTCCTTTGCTGTACTCACTCAAGCGGAGGACGACAATATGGTAACCGCGTGCCATCTCCATGATCCATCCTTGCGTTCTCATCCCTCATCTCTCCCTCCTCCCCTTCTTCCCTTCTCCTTCCCCCATGCCTGGCTTCACCAGTGAATGGCACAACCGTGCGATTCTCCTGTCTGGTCTGTCAACACCACCCTCTCAAGCTCTCTTCTCTTTCTCAGCCAACCACGGTGGACAACAACTCCACCTTCTATCTTTCAGCCTCGTCCCTCTCAAGCTCTCCCTCTCAAGCTCTCCCACTCAAGCTCTCGGCCATGTGGTGGATGACAAAACCATTCAACTCCGTCCCTCTGTTTTCATCCCCTCTCCACCCCCCCTGTACCCGCCATGCACGGCGGCACCAGGTGGTGGACGACAATGCCATCTCCGTCCATGTGTTCTCATGCCCTCCGCACCCCCGTTATACATGCCCCCACGCACCAGGTGGTGGACGACAACCTGGTGAACCGGCGGGTGGCAGCGAGCACGCTGGCGCGGTACGGGGCGGAGGTGGCGCTGGCAGAGTCGGGCGAGGCGGCGCTACGCCTGCTGCAGGCGCGCCACTCCTTCCGCCTCGTGCTCATGGACCTCCTCATGCCCGGCCTCGACGGGTGCGTTCGTGCGTGCACGTGTGCGTATGTGCGCTTGTGCGCAGGTGCGAGTGTGAGTGCATGTGTGCTCATGGACCTCCACATGCCCACCCATGATGGGTGCGTGCGTCCATGAGCGTCTGTGAATGTTGCCCATCATCTTCATCTCCATGACTGCCACCGCACAAGGGGCCCTCATCTCGCCATCCTCTTCACTCATTCGCAGTCCCCAACCTCCCCCACCTTCCCATCCCTCGCATCCTTCACCAAGCAGGTATGAGACCGTCACTCGGCTGCGAGGCATGGAGCGGGAGTCAGGGGATGGGGGAGCAGGGGGCGAGCGGCATGTGAGGGTGGTGGCCATGTCAGCAGACGTGGACAGCGCTGTGGCAGCACGTGCTGCTCTCGTGGGCATGGATGGGGCTGTGCAGAAACCACTCGATGAAAGCCAACTCCTGTCCATTATAAGAACACTTCAATTTGTTGGGCTGAGTGCCCCTTAGGATCTTTGGTAGGGTTAAACTCTGGATAGAGTGATGTAGTAGCGGAAGCGTTAAATAAAGAGATTCTGAACCACATTGCGCTAGTATGTGAGGGCAAAGTAAGATGATTAAAACAAACAAGTACAAAGGTTTATATAAGAGTACAAGGAATACGAAGAGATATAATTCAACTGTTTTACTGTTTCAAACCAGGTGGTGATGCTGTCAGTGGAGCCGACGTAGAGTAAGTCGTCTACGTAGACGATCAGTAGGATATAGTCGTCGTTTTTTGTAAGTCGGTACATGCCTTGATCGTGAGGTAGTTGGCGGAACCCGATGCGAATGAGGCGAGCGTGTAGGTACTGTTGCCATGGCCGCGGGGCTTGCTTGATTCCGTAGAGCGACTTCAGTGAGAAAGTATGAACGAGAATGAATGAACTATGAAATGAAGTGAGTACAAGTACTAACCCTAATTGGGTTGTACCTCCTATGGGATACCCCACTATAGCCTACACAACAGCATAAGCTATAATGTTCTGACACACCCCCATAGGCAAAGTGGGGGAGAACAGGGGGTCACAAGACCAGTCAAGCAAAGCAAAGCAAAGCTCAGGGTGGATCACAAAGTCACCACACATTCCGAGCACAAGTTCAAGGCCACAAGGCCAGTTCACATGCAGGAGTACATATATATATATAAGGCTAGACAAGCAAGAGCAGGTATATATATATGTAACAATACAAGTAAGGTCAAGAGGTGAGCAAGTGAGGCAAGACAGGGACAAGACCCAGCTGAGTGCAGAAGCGCTGATGATCACAAGGCGGAAGTGCCTTGGTGAAAACATCAGCAATGTTGGCCTCAGAGACCACGTACGCAAGCCGCAACTGTCCACGCTGCTGTAGCTCACGAGCAAGAAAGTAGCGGAGAGCAATGTGCTTTGTTCTGTGCTCCAGTCGCTGCTCTCGACACAAGGCCAGCATGGCCTTGTTGTCTACGTACAGAACTGGAGGAGAACGAGGCGGCTCTCCGAGGTCAGTCAGCAGGTAGGTGAGCCAGCGAAGCTCCTGTGCAGCCATGGCCCCAGCGTAGAACTCGGCCTCACAAATGGAGCCGAGAACAGAAGACGAGCGAGTAGCCCGCCACGAGACAGAGCCGGAACCAAGGCTGAAGGTGTAACCCTGTGAGGACCTCTGCGTAGCCTGGTCGTCAGCCCAAGAAGCGTTTGCGTGCCTAGTGAGGACCACTGGACTGCGCCCTCCAAGCACTAGCCCCATGCCTGACGTACTGCACAAGTAGCGCAACACCCTCTTCGCTGCAGCCATGTGCTCTGGTCGGTGTCTCCCAGGAGCAACATAGCGTGCGAGAATGCTAAGAGGGTATGCAAGGTCAGGTCGAGTGCAGGTCATCAGGTACATGAGGCAGCCAACAAGCTCTGGATACGGGCCACTCGACTCTACGGACTCATCCGAAAGCAGAGCTGAGAGTGAGTGGCGAGTAGGCAGAGGAGTGGCCTGAGGCGAGGAGTACGTGAAGCCGAAGCGCTGAAGGACCTGCTGCACCATGTGTGACTGAGTCAGGGTAACGGTGCGGCGTGCTCTGTCCCGGGTGATCTGCAAGCCAAGGTAGTTGCGCAGTTCACCCAGGTCTGTGCACGTGTGTCTCTTGTGCAGCTCGGACTTCACGTAGGCGAGTCCAGCAGTGTCAGCTGTGGCAAAGACAAAGTCGTCGACGTACACGAGGATGTAGAACGGCGGCAGAGAGGTGTCGGTGCGTAGAAACAGCGACGGGTCGGCAGTAGAGGGAGCAAACCCAAGAGCCGCAAGCGTAGTCCTCAGTGTGTCGTGCCACTCACGCGGTGCCTGGCGGAGACCGTAGATTGGCCGCCGAAGGCTCCACTGGGTGCCAGGAGGAAAAGTCCCAGTGAAGCCAAGTGGGCGACGCAGCCAGATCGCCTCGTGCAGACTGCCCTGCAAGAAAGCAGTGCTGAAGTCAAGAGAGTGTAGCTCGTAGTCACGGTGAGCAGCTACGTGCAGCAGTACCCGAAGAGTGGTCATCTTCGAGGTGGGAGAGAAAGTATGAAAGTAGTCAACTCCCTGCCGCTGACTGAAGCCACGAGCCACGTAACGCGCCTTGAAGACAGGCGGAGAACCCGGCGGCCGCTTCACCCTGAAAATCCACATGCCACCGACGATGTTCGCCCCAGGAGGAGGGACAGCGTCAACGTAGGTGCCTGTGGACTTCCAGGAAGCCATCTCTGCATCCATAGCTGCCTGCCACTGAGAAGAGTAGGGACCCTCTATCGCCTCCGCGTAAGTGCGCGGAGTCGGGATGTCAAGTGCATCCGGGTCTCCCTCAAGGGTAAGCAGTACGGACACGAGATGAGGTGAAGCAGCGGCCAGGTACTGGAACTCCTCTTGCCTATCCTCAAGGACGTCCGTGCCAAGGGCACACTCACCCCCGACGGACAGAGGAGTGACAGACTCAGACTCAGCGACAAGACTAGCAGCGTAGTCTAGGCGACAGCGAGCAGCAAAGTCGACGAGCTCAGTAACTAGGGCAGACGCAGTAGTGGACTCAAAAGAAGGGTCAATGACGACAGTAGCAAGGAGACGTGTGACAGTAGGACTAGCAGCACGAAGAGAGTCCGACGCTGGGTCGGCAAGAGTAGGAAGAGAGGACTCAGGAGGAGAAGGCAAAGGGGCACACAGAGGAGCAGTGGACGGACGCAGAGACATCCTGTGCGTGCCAGGGACAGGAGGAGGACGCTGACGCGAACCACGACCAATAGTGCGAGCAGCACGGACAGGCGACGCAGAGCGAGACGCAGGCTCACGACGCTCAGCAAGACCTCCGGTAGGACCAGTGTAGGGAGAGGGAGCAGGTAGAGGGGAGGCAGGCTGTAACAAAAACTATGACTGGACAGGCTGTGGACACCCTAAAGAAGGAGGAGGACCTGTAGAAGGTGGAAGACCAAGAACCTGCTGCAGGAGTGGAACGAAGTACGGTCGAGGCCGCGCGGCGACACCAGACACAGCAGGGACAGCACCAGTACCCCCAGCAGGAGCACCCGCTCCAGCAGCACCTACAGCAGCTCCAGATCCTCCAGCAGCACCAGTAGTACCCCCAGCAGGACCGCGAGCAGTAGGCTCAGTACCAACGCCCGCATCAGCACCAGCTCCAGTCGAACCCACAGGCCCAGCAGCTCCAGTACTCCCAGTACGAGCACCCCCGGGACCAGCGGCACCAGCACCCTCAGCAGCCGAAGAACCTCGAGCTCCAGCAGCCAACTCTAGCGCCGGGCAAACCACTCGCGGAGCTCGGGTGGAGAGAGTGGCTCCCGGAGAGACGAAGCACCCGGAGGACCTCCGGGTGTAGCACCTCCAAGCTCAGCACCCCCAAACTCAGCACCCCCAGGCACAGCACCTCAAGGCGTAGCACCCCCAGGCGTAGCACCCCCAGGCTCAGCACCCCCAGGCTCAGCACCCCCAGTCGCAGCACCCCCAGGCTCAGCACCCTCAGCAGCACCAGAGTCACCAGTAACCTCGACAGGCTCGACTGCGTCTACCTGGGACACACCTGAAGGGGCAGGACCCTGAGGGGGGAGGGGGTCTACCGGGGGGGGACCTGGGACAAGGAAGAGCGGGTGCGGGGGGAGGGACGGAGTGCGGTAGGGGAAGACGCGGTAGTAGGGGACTGACTTGTCAAACGTGACGTCCTGGGAGGACAGAACACGGCGAGAGGTGGGGTGGTAGAACTGCCACCCAGGCGCGTCAGGGGGAAACCCCAGGAAGACGCAAGGAGCAGCACGAGGGGACAGCTTGTCCGCAGACAAGTCGCGGACAAACGCCCGAGATCCCCAGACCCTGAACGCCGATGCATCGCCAACCCTCCCCGTCCACAGCAAGGCTGGGGAGGTCTCCGGCCTGGAGACCCTGGGGTGGAGGTTGATCTGATGCGCCGCGTACCTCACCGCAAACGGCCACAGAAAATTGGGGGCAGCCGCATGCATCATGGACGTACAAGCGACGTCCATGACCATGCCAATGCGGCGCTCAGCAATCCCATTTTGCTGCGGAGAGTCCGGAAGCGTGAAGGTCTGACGGATGCCTCGTGCGCGACACTAGGCTCTCAGAAGGCCAAAGGGAAACTCTCCGCCTCTGTCCGAGTGCAGACGCAGAACAAGAAAGTCCGAGCCAAAGCTCTGCCTGAGCTGGAGACGAGCTGCGCGGATCCAGTCGATCAGCACCTTAGTGACATCACCCTTGCTGCGCAAGGGGAAGACTGCGGTGTAACGCGAGTAGTCGTCAACAACAAGTAGGAAGTAGCGCTCGTGACCCTGTCCACAGACGCGGGCTAAGCCCCACACGTCCATGTGAAGCGTCTGCAGCGGGGCCTCTGTCGGAGGAAACTGGGAGAAGTGAGGGGCAGCCCTCTGGCGCCCCTCGACACAGGGGACACAAGAAGGGCCAGGCCCCTGAGGAAGGGGAGGGAGGGACCTGGGGAGACCAGAAACAAGAAGACCGGTACCTAGAGCAGCAGTCTCAATGCCCGGATCGGGCGGGAAACACCGGTAACAGTCACCCTCATCACTAATAGTCACAGAATACATGGCAGACAGAATAGCATCAAAATCAAGATCATAGATGGAAACTCCCGCCCTAGACCGCTCGCCCCAGCAAGGGATCTCTGTGGCCTCAGGGAACTGGTGACGCCACGCGTCCGTCAGGCGGCCAAAGCAGCGCTGGGTGGGGTGCGCACCCCCACACTGCTCACCCGCACGGTCATCGGTGCGCAGGACGTAGGTGCACGGACCAAAACCCCCACCCCGCTGGCGTGCAGTGTACCACTCACGGAGCTGCTGAGGGGACAGGGTCTCACGACCACGCTGCTGCTCCTGGCGCGGACCACCACCGGAGCCACTCCTCTGCGTAGACCCACGACCTGCTCCACCGCCACCTCCGCCTCCTCCTCCGCCTCCGCCGCCCCCACCACCACCGCCGCCTCCGCCGCCACCGCTACCACCGCCTCATCCGCTCCCTCCGCCACCGCCGCCGCCTCCGCCCCCACTGCTGCCACCAGTACCCCCACCCCCTCCACCACTCCCACCACCACCCCCACTCCCTCCGCCGCCTCCACCGCCACCTCCACCGCCCCCGCCAGCTCCTCCAGCGCCCTTGCCCCCCTTGCCCTTGCCTGTGCGGCGCTTCCCCGAAGGGGCAGACGCAGCGCCGACCGACTCGAAACCAACGAGGTCGGCCGCAGCAGCAGAAGCAACAGAGGGCAAGAGGGGGGAGGGAGAACACCCCTCAAAGACAGGGGTGCGGGGGTCACCACGAGAGGCTCCTACAGCGACGATGCTCTTCTCCGCCGCTAGGAGGGACTTCTCGAGGAGGTCAATGGTGAGAGTGGTGGGGCACACTTCGAGGAAGTGGTCCCTGACTACTCTAACGGAGTCAGGGAGTCGGGTGACTATGAAGTAGAGGGTGATGTACATGGGGGGGGGTTCTTGGCGCAGAAGTCAGCAGGAAGCGCAGCGCGGTAGCGTGTGTCACTAGTGCGGAGGTGCGTAATGAGGTCAGCGACTGTGGGAAAGGCAGCAAGGTCAGGGAAGAGGTACGGCAGCATGAGACATCTCAGTGCCGCAGTGGCAGGGGAGGAGTAGCGTGCAACTACAGCGTCGTACAAGGTCTGAGCACTCTTGTACTGACTAAAGTGTGCACGCTCGGAGGTAGGGAGGTGGCGGCGCACAGCAAGACGTGCAGTAGCGTCGCGCGTGGCCCACTGGGAACGAACAGTGGCGTCAGCATCAGCAGCAGGGGCAGGGGAAGCGCCAGAGGTGAGGTCAAAGAGAGAGAGGCCGTCTGCCCTATCGCACTGTAAGAACAGCTGCAGGTCATCTACCCAGACCTCAAAGTCAATGGCCCGACCCTCAGCGTCAAAAGCGAGGACACTAGGGGTAGCCATGACCACAGTAGACTAGCAGTGCAAACAGTAGGGTGAGGGCAGTGCAGTGAAAGAGGCGCTGTGCTCACCAGACTGGGCAGCTCGGGCGGCTCGGAAGTAGGGCGGCTCGGCGGTCGGCGGCTCGGCGGCTCGGCTGCTGGGCGGCTCGGCTGCTGGGCGGCTCGGCTGCTCGGCTGCTGAGCGGCCTTGCGGCTCGGCTGTCCGGCTGCTCCGTCGCCCGGGCGGCTCGGCAGCGCGGCGGTCGGCTGCTCGGCTGGGTGGGGCGGGTCGGGCAGTCTTGGTGGCGGGCGGCGCTGCAGCAGGTGAGAGGCGGCGAGGCCGCAGTAGAGGGCGGCGTGGCCGCAGGTGACAGCGGCAGGGCCGCAGATGAGGGTGGCGGGGCCGCAGCAAAAGGCGGCGAGGCCGCAGATAAGGGCGGCAGAGGCCGCAGCAGTTCAGGGCTGCGGGGCCGTAGTTGAGAAGGGCGGCGACGGGCCGCTGGTAGGGCGGCGACGGGGCCGTAGGTGAAAGGGCGGCGACGGGCCGCTGGTAGGGCGGCGAGGGGCCGCAGTTGAGAAGGGCGGCGACGGGCCGCTGGTAGGGCGGCGACGGGGCCGCAGGTGAAAGGGTGGCAACGGGCCGCTGCTGTGGCGGCGACGGGCCGCAGGTGAGAAGGGCGGCGACGCGCCGCAGGTGAGAAGGGCGGCGACGTGCCGCAGGTGAGAAGGGCGGCGACGGGCCGCTTTCAGGGCGGCGACGGGCCGCTGGTGAAAGGGCGGCGACGGGCTGCTGCTAGGGCGGCGACGGGCCGCTGCTAGGGCGGCGACGGGCCGCAGGTGAGAAGGGCGACGACGGGTCGCTGCTAGGGCGGCGACGGGCCGCTGGTGAGAGGGCGGCGACGGGCTGCTGCTAGGGCGGCGACGGGCCGCTGCTAGGGCGGCGAAGGGCCGCTGCTAAGGGCGACGCGACGGGTCGCTAAGAGGGGCGCGACCCTAAGTGCGCTTCGAGCAGGGGCAGAACGCGCCCCGGGCAGGAAAAAAAAAATCGTTGGGCCCTAGTAACAGTTCCCACGAGGGAACTTACTCGATACCATGAGAAAGTATGAACGAGAATGAATGAACTATGAAATGAAGTGAGTACAAGTACTAACCCTAATTGGGTTGTACCCCCTATGGGATACCCCACTATAGCCTACACAACAGCATAAGCTATAATGTTCTGACATTCAGCAGCTGGCAAACCTGGTTGGGCTCTGCGTTAGTACCGTGCGGTAGTTCCACGAAGATCTCTGCGTCGACAGGTGCGTAGAGGAACGCGTTTGCGACGTCAATTTGCTGCAGCTTCTTCTTCTTCTTCATGGCGGCAATTGCGAGGAGAATGCGTAGTGAGGTGTGGCGGCTAACCGGAGCGAAGGATTTGGTAAAATCCCGTCCGTGTTCTTGGTCGAAGCCGCGCACGACCCATCGTGCCTTGAATTTGTCGATTGTGCCGTCGGCTTTCGTCTTCACACGGAAGACCCACTTCCCGGTGAGTACTGTCTTGTTCCGTGCCACGCCGATAGGAACCACTTTCCACGTGTTGCGTTCCTCCAGTGCCTTCAGCTCCTTGTCCATGGCTTCGCGCCATTTTTCTTTATGTTCCCCCCCTAGAGCCTGTTGAACCGTCGCAGGCTCTTTAGGAGTGGCGGTGCCATGTGTCAGAATCCCAACCACTAGACCATTGGGATAAAAGGGCTTGTTTCAGTAGCGGGTCAGTGCGCCCATAACCCCCCAGGCAAACGCGCCTGTAACCCCCCCAGGATCGATCGAGGATCTCACAGTGTAGCTCTACTGACACCCCCCCACACTGGGAGGCCCAGGACTGAGCACAGTGGCAACGGCCAACATGTGCATACACCGGGATTCGAACCCGAGACCACTCTGATACCAAGTCAGAATCCCAACCACTAGACCATTGGGATAAAAGGGCTTGTTTCAGTAGCGGGTCAGTGCGCCCATAACCCCCCAGGCAAACGCGCCTGTAACCCCCCCAGGATCGATCGGGGATCTCACAGTGTAGCTCTACTGACACCATGGACTGCGGTGACGAGTCTGAGAATCTGCAGTCCAGTCTGTGAGTAGCGGGGAAGAGTTGCATCCTCGGGATAAGCTGCTTCATCTCCCGCTTCTGGATCTGGTAAGAAATTTGGTCCTACTCGTTCGGCTTCGTTGGTGTTGACTGTTGCAGGTGTTACGTAACCGTTGTCGGCGAAATGGTAGAAGGTTTCGGCGTTGGCACTTTCGCGAGGGTTGTCTTCGTCCATGGGAACGTCGACGGAGCAGAACGGAAGAGGTCCGGCTTCTTCTGACGCGTTGTCCACATTCTGCTCGTCCCAGTCAGCTTCGTCTACTGCAGAGGCGAAGGCTCGGTCACCACGAAAACCACCTGTGGGATCTTCGTCTTCTTGCAGGTTGGCAAGGTATGTCTGGAGCGTGAGTCGTTCGTAGAAAATTACATCACGTGCTGCTACTGTTTCCTTGGAGTGGACGTCGAAGATTTTCCACGCGTTGTAGTTCTTTTCGATGCCGAGGTGTAGTCCCCATTGTGCGCGTTGTGAAAATCGGCCCGCTCGTGCTGCTGGGGGTCGGTACTGTACCATGCATCCGAAAACTCGTAACATTTTTGTGCTGCCCTATTTCCCTGTCCATAGCAGATGCGGTGATGCGTTGTTCGGAAGCGATGATGACGACAGCAAGTTGTGCAGCATGAGGGCGTGGTCCATTGCTGCAGGCCACTGGTGGTTGGGTAGCCGCATGCCACGTAACAGTTTGCGCATGCTGTTCTGCAGAGTCCTGTTCATTCTTTCTGCTACACCTTGCTGCTGATGGGCGTAGGGAAGGGAGATGAGCTGCTTGATTCCCCTTTCCGCCAGGTACTGCTTGAATCGCTGAGAGGTGTATTCTCCTCCTCCATCTGACTGGAAGCTTTTCAGTTGTACGCCCGATTCTCTCTCTGCTACTGGTAGCCAAGCAACGAAGGCTGCGAGTGCCATGTCGCGGCTAGGAAGGTTGCGGTGCCAGACGTAGCGGGTGGCGGCGTCGATGAAGGTGATCGTGTAGTTGTATGTTACTTGTCCTGGTTCCCGATTGAACAAGATGTCGCTATACACCTTTTCGAGTGGTGCGTACGCGGGTGCGCTCGGGTTGTGATGAGGCGTAAACGGTCGATGTGGTAAGTCACCTTCGGGGCAGGTGAAGCGCGTTCCGCGTACTCGTTGGAGTTCTCGTCCGTCAATCAGGAGAAGTGAGTCCTTGTCGAGTACTCCTGCTCTTATCGTATTGTTTAAGACTGTGTTGCTTGGGTGTCCCATCCTTGCGTGCCAGGTGCTTTCGTCGACGCGATGTCCAGGTGATCGTCGGTACATATCGGAGTTGGAGTAGAAGCTAGCGGTGGAGTTCGCGCTACGATGAACTTCTCGTGGTGCTGGGTGGGGCTGTTGTGCTGGTGTTGGTGGTGTGTCGTCGATGAGGAGCGGTGTCGTTGAAGTACCAGCGATTGGTGTTGACGTTCCTGTTGCTGCCGTTGATGGTTTTGCTGCTGCCGATGTTGTCTCTGCTGCTGGCGGTGTTGTTGCTGCCGATGTTGTCTCTGCTGCTGCCGATGTTGTCTCTGCTGCTGTCGAATGTTGTATTGTTACTAACGCGCGTGTTCGTTCTGCTTCAGGAATGGTATGTGAATACCAAAAGCCTTCTGGACTGAAGTCTGGATCAAGGTCTGGAGGGTGTGTCGAGTTGGTGAAGTTAACGATGGCGTCGCTGTCGGCGGTGCCAAGGTCAGGGACAAAATCGAGAACGAAGACGTTGTTCTTGAGGATCGCCTTGCCGATGTAGAGACCTCCTCTCCCGTGATACAACTTGAATTCTTGGGTGGTGCTGTCTGCTTCGAGGTGAATCCCCTTTGCCATTAGCTGGCTGACGCTCAGTAAGTTGTAGCCGAGTCCCTCCGCGATCAATACTTTTGACATCTGCAGTATAACGTTTGTTTCCCTTGACTGAAGTTGAACTACACCTTGTCGTCGTGTTCGCATGTTCTGATTGTTGGCGACTGTGATGACAACTTCGCGTCGAAGTTGGTGTTCTCGTTGAACGAAGCGTCCTGAAGAGCACATGTGTTGTCCGTAGCAGCTGTCCAAGAACCATGTATCCTTCCCGGACAGCTCGCTTTGAGCGATGGCGGCGTACGTCGGGTTCGGTTGAAGTGACTCGCGGCGAGGCGTGCTTTTGTCGAGTTGTTCTTCTGGTGAGTAATATGGTGGTGACTCAGTTACACAGGAGTCACTCAGTCTTGCCATGCAGCTGACGATGTTTCTTGTTCCTTTAGCAGGTTGTCCCGTCGATGTTGTTGAGACTTGTACTGAAGTTGTCGGATTTGCTTGCGTTGAGGCGACTTGACTGCTTGAAGGTCGAAGTTGCTGCTGTGAAGTTGTTGACTGTTGACGATTTGGGCAGTGTGTACGCGGGTGTCCTGAATTTTTGCAGATGTGGCAGAACGGAGGTACTGGCTTAGGTTGTTGCTGCCGGTTGTTGTTGTTGTTGTTGTTGTTGTTGTTGTTGTTGTTGTTGTTGTTGTTGTTGTTGTTGTTGTTGTTGTTGTTGTTGTTGTTGTTGTTGTTGTTGTTGTTGTTGTTGTTGTTGTTGTTGTTGTAGCGTCGCTGAGCGTGGAACGCGAATTCCGGTGCTGATGTCTTCTTTCTGTGTCGTTCTTCTTGCAGGTCCATATCTTGCTGCTCGGCGTGGATTTCGACGCAGAGCGCTGCTTCGGAGATTCTTCTGTGAGCTCGGAGGATGGCCTTTGTGGCGCGCCATTGAGGACCGAGTCCGCCGATGATGACTGTCACGAAGGCGTCTTCAGAAATCGACCCTCCGCATCGAAGAAGCTTGTCGCGCAACTCGCGACATCGACTGATATACGCCATCCCTTTTTCCCCTTGTTTCATTTCAACCGTTGTCAGCTGCGCCATTAACCGACTTTGGTTTACGCTGTCTGTTGCTTGATACAGGCTCTTCAAGTGATTGTACGTGAGCTCCGCGGAGTTGCCGTAGCCTCGGTAAGACCGTATGTTTTGTTGTTGAGTTGGAGTGACGTTCCTCAGTAGTATCGTGTACGCCATGATCGATTGATAGGTGTACTGCTGCTTCTCATACTGTGTGCCGTTTGTTGGGTATGGCAGGGACCCGTCGAAGAAGCCAAGGATTTGCGCTCCTTCCATCATCAGCTCGAATTCGAACGACCAGGTAAAGAAATCCTTCCCGTCGAAGGGTTTTGTCGTTTGCAGTTTTAGAACGTGCGCGAACTGCGACTGAACTAGTAGTGCGTCTAGCGTTTTTTCTTGTCCCGGTGCAGGTTGTGGTTGTGGCATGAAGCTGACGGAGCCGCGCTGGGGCTCGTACGGAGCGAAGGTAGGTTGTTGTTGTTGGTTCCCGCGTGCGTAGGATGAGCCATCGAGACCAATGGGCGTCACGTTGTTGTTGATGTTGCTGTTGTTTGATTGCGCAGGTGCTCCTTGCTGATGCTGCTCGTAGAAGGACATGAAGGAGAAGAACTTCTCCATCATGCTTGGATCGAAGCCCGCGCCTTGGTTTGCGGGTGTTTCAGTAGACCCAACTGCCGGTCTCGTTGTTGTGCCTTCCTCTGTCTGTAGGCCAGAGACATGAGGTGGAGTAGGAGTAGTACCAGGAGAGCCGTTGGAGGAGCTCCTCTCTTTTCTGGTAGACATGTCTCTTGGTGTATTAGGTGTTTAAGGAGAAATATTTTTTAACCCTAACCAGCCCTCATACCATGTTGGGCTGAGTGCCCCTTAGGATCTTTGGTAGGGTTAAACTCTGGATAGAGTGATGTAGTAGCGGAAGCGTTAAATAAAGAGATTCTGAACCACCTTGCGCTAGTATGTGAGGGCAAAGTAAGTTGATTAAAACAAGCAAGTAAGTACAATGGTTTATATAAGAGTACAAGGAATACGAAGAGATATAATTCAACTGTTTTACTGTTGCGGCTCGATACAGTGCGACTCGGGCAACTGCTCAATGTCGAGTCAGTTGTGTGTCCTTGCTGTCGCGCTGTATTTGTAAAGTCAAAGGTCGCTGACCTTTGAATTTCCCGTAACCTCCAGCGGTTACTTCAACCTCCGCGGGTTGACTCGCTGGTGCCTCGATATGCTCTGCTTCGCTTGTGCCTTAGTGTTTCGACACGACAGATGCGCTGAGGACCGATTGTTTCCAACACAATTGAAATGTATCTCTTCTTAATTGCACTTATTTTGAACATACAACAAATATTTTAACCACTTCAATCCCCCAAATGCACCATCAGTGGCCATAAATTCATTGAAGGGGGCTTTTAATGTGCTGATCTGATCCACCTATATGTAACACAATCGTCAGGAGTGAACCACCCCTCTAAAGAGTGGCAGGATTTCATGCTGGCAACTTTCCTTCATGCTGGCAACTTTCCTTCATGCTGGCAACGTTCCTTCGCGCTGGCAACTTTCCTTCGTGCTGGCAACTTTCCTTCGTGCTGGCAACTTTCCTTCGTGCTGGCAACTTTCCTTCGTGCTGGCAACTTTCCTTCGTGCTGGCAACTTTCCTTCGTGCTGGCAACTTTCCTTCGTGCTGGCAACTTTCCTTCGTGCTGGCAACTTTCCTTCATGCTGGCAACTTTCCTTCATGCTGGCAACTTTCCTTCATGCTGGCAACTTTCCTGGCAACTTTTCTTCCCTTCCCTGCCTCCAGCCCCACTTCCTCATGCCTCAACAATCGATCATCTGTTTGTGTGTAACTGTTGGCAGGCGAAACGGCTCAATGCGCGATTGACCATTTCATTGCCCTCCCATCCCCCCCTCCTCCCCTCCCCTGCGAGCCTCAGAACAGCTGCGGCACGTGGGTCTGGTCCGACACGGGCGGCCGCACATGGAAGTCCTGCTGCAGCGGCGGCAGAGCCACACTGTGGGGCAGCGGCAGGTCCTCATATGGTATGAGCGCCAGCAGGTGCGCCAACACATTCAGCCGCGCGCGCCTATCATCGTCCGCAGGCACCACGAACCACGGCGCCTGCTTGACATCGCAGAAGCCAAACATGACGTCCTTGGCGTGCGAGTACTCCGCCCACCGCGCCCGCGCCTCCACGTCCTCCGCACTCACCCTCCACCGCTGCTCCGGCCGCGCCAGCCGCTCCCGAAACCGCCGCTCCTGCTCCTCAGGGCTCACAGACACCCAGTACTTGACGAGGATGATGCCGGAGCGAACCAGCATGCGCTCAAACTCGGGGCACGAGCGCAGGAAGTCTCGGTATTCCGCGTCGGAGCAGAGTCCCTTCACGTGCTCCTCGCCTGCGCGGGCATACCAGCTGCGGCCCAGCAGCACCATCTCGCCGGCAGCAGGCAGGTGAGCGACGAAGCGCTGGAAGTACCACTGCGTGCGCTCGCGGTCGGAAGGGGCGCCCAGCGCCGTGACGCTGCACACGCGCGGGTTGAGCGGCCCTGCGATGGCGCCCATGAGATCGCCCTTGGCTGCTTCATCGCGCCCCTCAAAGAGCACCACCACCCGCAGCCCCTGGCGGGAAATCCACTCCTGCAACTTCACCATCTCGCCCTGGCGAGGAAGGGGAAGGATTGGAGGGGGGAAAGTGGAGAAAAGGAGGAGTGAGGAGAGGGCAGACGAGGAAGTAGAGGGGTGGGGCTGGACAGGGCAGGAGATTGCTGGTGTGTGTTGAGGGGTGGGCAGATTTATTGCCAGAAGTAGATGCTAACGAGACAGTGTATGAGGTGCTGGGTATGTGGCCACGAATATGAGGTTCGGAATATGAGGTCCAGGTTATGAGGTTTGGGATCTGAGCAGCGCGTGAGCAAGTGTGCGTGGTAAGGTGTTAGGCAAAACGACGAGGGGGATCAGCAGAGGAGATGAGCGGATCAGATCGGCGACGAAAATCAGCAGGGCAGATCAGCTGGACGGATCAGCCGGGCAGATCAGTCGAGCAGATTAGTTGGGCAGATCGCAGATCGTTGGGGTCAACAACTTTTGGCGCGAATGCGGCACCGACGGTGTCTGCAGCGCACCCGTGCATGGCTTACGGCGCACCCGCCACCACTCCGCTCGGGCGCTGCCTCATCCTGCCGCTAGTTCACCCCTCACATACCTCGCAACGAATGTTCGCCTCTCCAACCGCCGCCAATGCGCGCGTGTCGTCTCACCTGCAGTCGCTCGAGCTCTTCGTCGTAGTTGTAGTCGCCCCTCCTCACCCCGCCGTCCCTCGTCGCAGCCATGGCGTGCGACTCCGCGTCGTCCGGGTAGTGCGCTCGCCTTTCTACGCGGCGCGCCTCGAGCATCTCAACTCTCGTCCGCTTCTCTCCGACGCAACCCTTCAAGCCTGGAATTGCCTTTTCCACCCGCGCCGCAATCGCAGCCATCGCGGCGCCGTTCATGGCCTCTCTCTTCCATGCTTTCTTCTTCCCCTCATTCTTCTTCCCGCCCATTTTCTCCGAGTCGCTGAGCGCCACGTCGACGTGGTGGTACACGCGTGGCGCCCAGTGGAGGTGCTGATGGTGAACAGTGTCGCGTCCACCGAGAGCCAATGAGAACTCGCGGCGCCTCGTCGCCTGCTTTGTGCCACCTTCAGCCTTCTTCGCCGCAACGCGCACGATTAGGGAGCCGTTTCTCCGCGCTTCCGGCGCACGGCACGGTGATACGGGGAGGGGCGGTTGCGCGCATGGTCGAGGCGGATGCAATCGGTGCGCGTCTTCTCTGAGCCGAGCCGCGGCCCATTCTGCGGACAGCGGATTCACCGACATCACTGCCGCCCGCGAGATAGCTGCTTGAAACGCGCACATTGCGGCGCGAAGGGCGCAGCCTCCGAAGAGTGACGGGTATCAGGGTGGTACGCAGAAAGCAGTGCACGGAGTGGTGCAGAGCGGTGGAACGGGCAATTTAATTAGCTGTGGAAGCTGGCTGTTGGCCCGCGGCAACGCTGGCAGGACGACGCTTCAACGCTTGTTTGTGCGCGCTCCCCTCTCCGCTGCCGTTCTTGCTTCTGTCGACCATACCTCTTTCGCTGGATGACTATTGAAATCGATTGCTCAACATTGCAGAGTGAGAAGGGGCGTCGGTAAAAGTCATTCCTGGTTTTTCCTTAATTCCGTGGTCTAAAACGCCACAATCGGCTGACATGTGCCATAAAAAGTCGGAGGAGGTGCGTCGTTTGCGAGAGAATGGCGGGGGTTGGGAGTGACGGGTGATGGTGATAAGCATGTGTGTGGTGGTGGTGAGACAGGATGTCGAGGGATGGGAAGGATCAGCATTCAGGTGTGCCGCGAGGGAGGGAGGAGCGATCGCGGCGGTTGTTGGAGCGAGCGATCCGACGTGACGTGACGTGCCTGGTGGAAGCGACAACAGGCTTGGAGAGCGAAATTCAACCAAGGAACGATGTCAGCAGGGCAGTTACGCAACTCGGCGAAAAAACTTCGCGCGAAAAGCTTTTGCTGCCTCGCAGGTCCCGATTGTGCTTTCTCTTCTTCGTGACCACTCGCTGTGGGGCTTCTTTAGCGAAGTCGACATCCAGTCTCAGACTTAGCGAATTGTATGCGAAAGGTTCAGAAGTTAGGGCGGGGGATTTTGAAGAGCCAAGGGGAGCACAGGTCAGCAGAGACCGTTGAAAGCGGAGGTCGTTGAGAAAAGGAATATTCTTTTGCGACGAGATGTCGCCGACTCAGCAAAAGTGCAGCCGCGTGGAAAATGCAACAAATCAAATTTGGGCAAATGTTCCTCCACACGTCAACTGTTCGCTAAGAAAGGAGCCGTTACAGAAGTAACAAATGCATTATCACTTAACTCAAATGGTCAAATAGCTTTCCATGACTTGTCTGGCTAACGTAGCTCCACTAATTCTGTAAATAGCAACCAGGTTATGAGCTGCTTCTTGTTTCAACCCTGCATCATATTCCTGTCCTTCCTGGTCATTAAGATCTCTGATTCTGCGAACTCTCAATCCTAACTGCTCAGATGTGGCATGGTACTTGCATGGAGTGGCGGATGTGAGAACATGCTTGTAGTAGTCGACAGCGAGGTGGAACAGACCCACGTGGTGGAACGCACTACCGGAATCTAACTTCACTTCCTGATATGTGTAACAGGAAACGTCGCAGGAAATGTTGGTCATAAGAAGGAGATGCTAGGAAAGCAGAAGTGGGACCCACTTGGGAGCACGGCTCACCAGTGAAAAACATCAGCTGCTCTCACCTCAGGTCAGGTGGCCTCACCTGAGTGTCACCCGAGGGTTAGGCGTACTGCTGCAGCGTTGCCATGCCGTGCAACACGCACGGGTTGCGATCACGCAGGCACGAGCGTAGGGAGCAGGGCTAACGATTCAAATTAGGCCTCCCTGAATCCGAGAAAAAATTTCCCCCTGTATTATGGGTGTGAGAAGAATTGAACGAGAATGAAATGACTATGAACGAAGTGAGTACAAATAGGAAACCCTAATTGGGTTGTACCCCCTATGGGATACCCCACTATAGCCTACACAAATAAGAAAGCTATAACGTTCTGACACACCCCCATAGGCAAAGTGGGGGAGAACAAGGGGTCACAAGACCAGTCAAGTAAAGCAAAGCAAAGCTCAGGGTGGATCACAAAGTCACCACACATTCCGAGCACAAGTTCAAAGGCCAGAAGGCCAGTTCACATGCAAGATCATATATAGAGATATACGGTACAAGAGTCAAGCAAGCAAGAGCAAGAGTATATATAGGTGAAGGTACAAACAAGGTCAAGAAGTGAGCAAGTGAGGCAAGACAGGCACAAGACCCAGCTGCGTGCAGCAACGCTGATGATCACAAGGCGCAAGTGCCTTGGTGAAAACATCAGCAGTGTTGGCCTCAGAGGCCACGTACGCAAGTCGCAACTGTCCACGCTGCTGTAGCTCACGAGCAAGAAAGTAGCGGAGAGCAATGTGCTCCAGTCGCTGCTCTCGACACAAGGCCAGCATGGCCTTGTTGTCTACGTACAGGACTGGAGGAGAACGAGGCGGCTCTCCAAGGTCGGTCAGCAGGTAGGTGAGCCAGCGTAACTCCTGTGCAGCCATAGCCCCGGCGTAGATCTCAGCCTCACAACTGGAGCCGAGAACGGAAGACGAGCGGGTAGCCCGCCACGAAACAGAGCCAGAACCAAGGCTGAAGGTGTAACCCTGTGACGACCGCTGCGTAGCCTGGTCGTCAGCCCAAGAAGCGTCCGCGTGCCCACTGAGGACCACTGGACTGCGCCCTCCAAGCACTAGCCCCATGCCCGACGTACTGCACAAGTAGCGCAACACCCTCTTCGCTGCAGCCATGTGCTCTGGTCGGTGTCTCCCAGGAGCAACATAGCGTGCGAGAATGCTAAGAGGGTATGCAAGGTCAGGTCGTGTGCAGGTCATCAGGTACATGAGGCAGCCAACAAGCTCTGCATACGGGCCACTCGACTCTACGGACTCATCCGAAGGCAGAGCTGAGAGCGAGTGGCGAGTAGGCAGAGGAGTGGCCTGAGGCGAGGGGTACGTGAAGCCGAAGCGCTGAAGGACCTGCTGCACCATGTGTGACTGAGTCAGGGTAATGGTGCGGGGTGCTCTGTCCCGGGTGATCTGCAAGCCAAGGTAGCTGCGCAGTTCACCCAGGTCAGTGCACGTGTGTCTCTTCTGCAGCTCGGACTTCACGTAGGCGAGTCCAGCAGTGTGAGCTATGGCAAAGACCAAGTCGTCGACGTACATGAGGATGTAGAACGGCGGCAGAGAGGTGTCGGTGCGCAGAAACAGTGACGGGTCGGCAGTAGAAGGAGCAAACCCAAGTGCAGCCAGCGTAGTCCTCAGTGTGTCGTGCCACTCACGTGGCGCCTGGCGGAGACCGTAGACTGGACGCCGGAGACTCCACTGGGTACCAGGAGGGAAAGACCCAGTGAAGCCAGGTGGGCGACGCAGCCAGATCTCCTCGTGCAGGCTGCCCTGCAAGAAAGCAGTGCTGAAGTCGAGAGAGTGCAGCTCGTAGTTACGGTGAGCAGCAACGTGCAGCAGCACCCGAAGAGTGGTCATCTTCGGGGTGGGGGAGAAAGTCTGAAAGTAGTCAACTCCCTGCCGCTGACTGAAGCCACGAGCCACGTAACGCGCCTTGAAGACAGGCGGAGAACCCGGCGGCCGCTTCACCCTGAAGATCCACATGCCACTGACTATGTTCGCCCCAGGAGGGGGAACAGCGTCAACGTAGGTGCCTATGGACTTCCAGGAAGCCATCTCTGCATCCATAGCTGCCTGCCACTGAGAGGAGTAGGGACCCTCTATCGCCTCCGCGTAAGAGCGCGGAGTCGGGATGTCAAGTGCATCCGGGTCTCCCTCAGGGGCTAGTAGTACAGACGCGAGATGAGGTGAAGCGGCGGCCAGACACTGGAACTCCTCCTGTCTGTCCTCAAGGACGTCCGTGCCAAGGGCACACTCACCCCCGACGGACGGAGAATAGGCAGACTCAGACTCAGCGACAAGACTAGCAGCGTAGTCTAGATGACAGCGCGCAGCAAAGTCGACGAGCTCAGTGACAAGGGCAGACGCAACAGAAGACTCGAAAGAAGGGTCAGTGACAGCAGTAGCAAGGAGACGCGTGACAGTAGGACTGGCAGCGCGAAGAGAGTCCGACTCCGGGTCGGTAAGAGCAGGAAGAGAGGAAGCAGGAGGAGAAGGCAAAGGGGCACGCAGAGGAGCAGTGGACGGACGCAGAGACATCCGGTGCGTGCTAGGGACAGGAGGAGCACGCTGACGCGAACCGCGACCACTAGTGCGTGCAGTACGTACAGGCGACGCAGGACGAGACGCAGGCTCACGACGCTCAGTTAGACCTCAAGTCGGACCAGCGTAGGGAGAAGGAGCAGGCAAAGGGGAGGCAGGCTGTATCTGTGACTGTGACGGGACTGGCTGTGGACCCTCTAAGGGAGGAGGAGGAGGACCAGGAGAAGGTGTAAGACCAAGAACCTGCTGCAGGAGCGGAACGAAGTACGGTCGGGGCCGCGTGGCGACGCCAAAAGCAGCAAGGACAGCACCAGTACCCCCAACAGGAGTACCCGCTCCAGCAGCACCTCTAGCAGCACCTCCAGTAGCTCCAGAACCCCCAGCAGCACCAGGAGCACTGCCAGTCGGACCGCCAGCAGTAGTCTCAGCGCCAACACCCTCAGCAGCTCCAGCTCCAGGAGAGAACCCTCAGGCCCAGCAGCACGCCTCCAGCGCCGGGCAAAACACTCACGCAGGTCCTGTGGGGAGAGTGGCTCTCGGCGAGATGAAGCACCTCCAGGCGGAGAACCTCCAGGCGAAGAACCTCCAGGCTCAGCACCCTCCGGCAAAGCACCTCCAGGCGGAGCACCCCCAGTCTCAGCACCCCCAGGCTCAGCACCCCCAGGCCCAGCACCCCCAGGCTCAGCACCCCCAGACTCAGTACCCCCAAGCTCAGCACGCCCAGGCTCAGCACCCCCAGGCTCAGCACCTCCAAACTCCGCACCCCCAGGCTCAGCACCCCCAGGCGTAGAACCTCCAGTCCGAGCACCCCCAGGTTCTGCTCCCGCAGCAGCACCAGAGTCACCAGTGACCTCGACAGGCTCGACCACGTCTACCTGGGACACACCTGAAGGGGCAGGACTCTGAGGGGGGAGGGGGTCTACCGGGGGGGGACCTGGTACCAAGAAGAGCGGGGGCGGGGGGAGGGACGGAGTGCGGTAGGGGAAGACTCCTCGAACGTGACGTCCTGGGAGGACAGAACACGTCGAGAGGTGGGGTGGTAGAACTGCC